AAAATTTAGTACAGTACAGTACAAGTACAAGGTCAAAATTTGCCTAGTACATACAAATTTCCCAACCCTGCTTATAGCCGATTGGTATATATCAAATTTTGACCTATCTTATTTCATTAACTTTTTTAATTGATTCAACATCCTTTTCGATCCATTCATATTTTATTCCGGGAAAAGCATTTCGGAAAGCACGAAGAATTGGCGAAAGGCATTCGACAATGTACGATCTTTCTTTCATATCCCCATCTAAAACATTTGGTGTCAGATATTTGAACATTGCAACAAAATCAAGTAAGGTATGTCTTATGAAAAAGAGGAACCTAGACTCCTCAGTTGTTTCATTATCTTTTTCAGTTGCTGTCTCTTCGATTATCTTGGAAAAAATTTCTGAATAGTCCGACTGAAAAATTGCTTCAAGTTTTTTAAGTATAAGTCCTTTTAAAACTAATTTATTTCGTGTTTTAAGAGTTCTTTCGATTTCCTCGTATAATTTTTTTTTCTGTAGTTTGTTTAACGAGGTGCATTGTTGCATTGAAGGCACAAATAACGTGCACGGAATATTGATTAAATGTCGCGCTCGTAATAATGGGTTTGTTGAGTGTTATGATCAAAGTATTTGCGATTGTTTGTGTTGTGGGACATGGTGTACTTTCGCGCGAATTATCCTCTTCACGGGCATATCGGTTTGGTCTTGCGTTTTTATACTTAATAGATTTCAAAAATAAGGTTAGAATTGACGACACTGGCTATAACCTGGTAAAAAAAATAATTACAATACCTTAGATCCTTCTACGTAACCATCAGAATCTGAGCTTGAAGATTCAGTATAGCGAACCTTCTTTTTTTTCCTAAGTACCATCTCCCCTTGAAGGTTATTTTCTGGTGTTCGTGGCCTGTCCTGTTCGTATTGAGTATGATCTCGAAGATTAGGAGAAGTGATTATGGGAGAGGCTTCCTCAGCTTCCTCAGCTGGCCGTTTACGTGTTATGTGTTCTGCGAGCGTGCTTCGTATGACTTTATCTCGTATTATTGAATTTTTTTAGGATTTCGTTATGCTGTTCTTCCTGTAATATGAGCAAAGAAATAAATTCCAAAATTCTGAATGTCCTCGTCATGGAAAACAAAACCAAAGATAGCATACCACAAGAGCTTTACGTTCATTAAGATGATTTTGGATAGTCTTATCATTCCGATCTGATTTCTTTACATCACTAGTCCAGTGCTAGCAGAAAAAGGGAGAAAAGATAGAATTAGTATAGCTCTCAACTCAAAATCAATAAGGTTGAGGGAGGTGTCGAACTTTCCGTTCATGACCGGTCGACTTTCCGTGTTCCAGCTTGCCACCGAAGACAATCAAGATGGGCACGAACTTTCCGTTCATGGCCGGTCGACTTTCCGTGTTCCAGCTTGGCCACACCTTGACTATCGAGATTGGCACGAACTTTCCGTTCATAACCGGTCGACTTTCCGTGTTCCAGCTTGGCCATATCTCGATTGCCTTCTTTAGCCTCATAAAAATGAGACTCAATCTCACTACAAACTAACAAACATACCTTCCAGTAATCAAGTATATACTGTGCCATTCTGCGTGATTCATCAGACTCAGCTTTTAGAACCTGTTTGAGCTCAACGTTGATACTGTAGAGAATTTTTTTAAGTTTTCATTTGGAGAAATATACTTATTGTAGTACTCGACAGCGTTTTCACACGTCCATTCAGAAGTATTTGTTTTACAAAAGAAATCTTTAAGATATGACGCTGACATTTAAATTTAGGTACCGTAAAAGTAGCCGAGGCAAACTCAGGAAAGTAAAAAAGGACAAATAGTAAAGGCTGTGGTTACTACACTTGCTCGTATTTTTCGAAGTCACATGATTCTGATCATTACCATTTATTTATCCCACGGTTCCTAATAATATAATATTATTTTCTATCTCCAATATTAGTATACTAATAAGTTTATCAATAAAAGTATAATTTATTATGTGATATAAACATGATCAGTTTACCGTAAAAAAAGTCTCAGAAATTGATTAGCATTTACATTTTATCCATACATAAAGAATTATAAAATCGAAATTATTTTTGTATGTAAAAAGAAACATTTGAAAAAATACAATTTTAAAATATAGGTATTTCATTTTCTAAGGAAGAAATTTCTTGAAGAGGAATACGTAATTTTGTATTTTCAATATTAGAATTATCTTATGAGGATGAATTATTTTTTTTAGAAGATAATTTACCATCAGTAATATTAATTAATGTCTTTAAAGTATTAAATTGTTGCTCTTCATTAATTGTTTTATAAGTTTGAACTTCTTGAACACTTTTATGCCCAGTAAGTTGCATAATTGCTTGTTCAGGAATTTCTTCATCTTGTAAAACTTGAGTTGTAGTTTTACATCCAGAATGATTAGAAAGTAATTCAACTGAAATATCAATTTGAGTTTCACGTCCAATATTTTGCATAAATTTATTCAATCTATTTTTTCCTACATGAGATATCCTATACCAAATTCCATTTTCTAACCAGGTTGTAAATAAAAGTTATTATCGGCTAAAAATAAGAGAAATAAAGAAAGGAAGTAAAGTTTAATAATAGTTAGTAAAATACTATTAATAATAGTCAAAAATAAACTATAAAATAAGCTTATTACTAGTCAAAATAAACTATAAAATAGACTCGCAGGACGGATCGATTTTAATTGAATTTATACAATTTAAAGTACTTTTTGAGATTTAGATAATCTACTTAATATAATAAGTTCAAATTTTATTTTCAGCTCTGAAATAACTTTAAAACTCTCTATGTAAAAAAATCAAAAAAGAATCAAAAACCTGGAGGATTTTACTTAGAAGATAAAAGATGCCTATTACTAGATCATGTGTAATTAAAGCTCTGAACGGTTCGGATTAATCTGAAAATTTTCAGTTCGGATCAACTTCGGTTCAGTTTCAGATTGCAAAAATTTCAATCTGAAAATTTTCAGTTCAGTTCGGATTTTTTTCAGATT